AATTATATTGCAATGGATGATGTTGTTGCTTGTTTTGCTATTATGCATTGTTGTGATACTGTACATGACGTCCTCCGCCCCCGAACGTTTCCGCCGTTCTTTTTTGGGGGTGTGACAGATTGGTATCATAACATTGTTTATAGTGAATTGAGTATATCAACCCATAAAATATATACAACTATAAACACATCGTGATTAAAATACTCTGACCAAGAGTTTATACTTTTAAATAATAAAATATTTAACCAAAGTATACATACCTGCATTCATACTAAAATCAGTGTAACTAGGACAGAACAAAAGTATTGCGATTGTTGGACAGCACAAGTAGGCTTTGGGACATATAATCAGATCTGGGAGTGATATAGCCTGATCAACTATATCTTTCCGAGAAGTGATTAGCATGTGCCTAGGAATGGTTGTGGTGTTGCAGCAAGTCTAAAAACTTACCAACACTACTACAATTAAAACATTAGAACAAAACATAAACTTAAAATACTATAGGAGTATTTTGTGTTACTATAATTACTTATGTGCAAACTAAAAAGATCTTTATTAGTATGTCAATAGTTGCTGAGTGGATACGCTAAGGTTATATGTGACTAAGGTGTCATAGACTTAGAATCTGTGATCTTTGCTTTACTTCCTGTTCCTTGTTTGGTTGTGGACTTAGAGTTAGGATCACTTATTCGAAGGCCTATCCTATTTTGGTTACATATGACTGGTATGCACTACGCAAATGTTGAAGAAACTGGTAAGGATCATCTTATAATTATTTTAATTAGTACGTCTATTAATTATTTCTTTTACCCCCATTCTCACGTAGATAACATGGCTGGATTCCATCCCCACGGCGACCCGTACTTCCCCAACCAAGGTAACGGTGGATGGCTCGATGATGAGCCAGAAGAGGAACATGCAATTCCATTGGACGATGACTTCGCAAAGAACTTTCCGGAGGATTCTGACTCCGAGCCAGAAGTCAACGATCTACCCCTAGTAGCTCCAATCCCAAATCCTAACCCTCGTCTGGCTTTTCAAGGCCCGACGCCTCTGTGGGCGGAAAACTTGGGAACATGGAGTCAAGAACAGGGTCAACCCATGCCATACAATGGAAACCGAAGCTTCTACAACCTGAGCGAGGGAGGCTCAGTGGACAAGATCCTGCCTATTCTGGTCTGCAGGGTTGCTCGTAATGAAGAGCAGGGTAGGGCACCCCTCGGTCATTAGGCTTGGGTTGTGAACTCATGATTTGATCATTATACACATACAAACCTTGTATCTCGTTTTAGCATCAAACTTATTTCCCACGAGAATATGAACTTTGCATCTCATTTTGGCAACGCACCATAATTCTCATGATGACAACGAACTTATTTACTCATGATAGCAATGAAATTTGTTATGAAAACTTGTTTACTCATTATAGCAATGAACTTGCTTACTCATTTTAGCAACAAACTTTATTTTTTATGATAACAATGGACTTTGTTTCTCATGATAGCATCGAACTTTATTTCCCATGAGAATATGAACTTTGCATCTCATTTTGACAACGTACTTTATTTCTCATGATGACAACGAACTTATTTACTCATTTTAGCAATGTACTTTTGCTTATGGAAACTTCTATCAAAAGTTTGATTATGATTCATGAAACCACATTTTTGTAAACCTGTGAACTCACTGACTATTTCTATAGTTGACGCTCATTTTACATGCTTTTTCAGGAATCATCGAGTAAGTGGAACGTAGGGACACATCACTTGTAGGAGAATTTGCATGTTTTATTTTATTTTAATACATTGTCATTTCTTTTAAAAATTGTTCAAAAGATATTGTAAATTGTAATGTTTTTTAATATTATGGTTGGTGTTGTCTTTATCTTTTGCTATGAAACCCTTTGTACTGTTGCGCCTTGTGTTTCCGCTTTAGCAGGGTGTGACAGCTAGGCCCATAATTGTATGCTTAGGCTGGAAGAAACCCCAGGGTTGGGCCCATTATTGAATGTTCAGGTTAAAACAAACCTTAGGGCTGGGCCCATGATTTTATGTTGGGTTGGAATATACCCCAGGTTTGGGCTCAAATGTTTATATGGTATGTGGTACTTTGGGGAACACACTATGCTTTGTTCTTACAGTTTTATGTTTATGGTTTCAGGTACTTCCGGTACGAAAGGGAAGGATCCGACATGATCGCACAACATCTCCCTCGTGATTTTGCATTTATGACTATTCTTACTCTGATATTTTTGATATATTGTATCGTGGTTGATTTTGAGACGTATGATGTGTGGTATTAATGATTTATAAAATGAAAAATTTTACCACTGTTTTTGGGATGTTACACATCGCCTACAAGGATTATACAAACGATGCAAGAGTGTTGTTCAAAAGGACTGCATTGGCTTAAAATTTTAAGAAATGACTCACTTCCCGAATTATACTGGTATCTCTTTTTCATGATGATACGAATTTGGAAGGTGGATGTGTTACTTATGTTCTGATCCGCGCATGGAGGGCAATCCAATTTTTTCTGCTGGTTGCGATCCAAGTTTGACTGTTGATGGTTGCGATCCGTTGTGACTAGTTACGAACGATCGCATCCAGTCGTATTCATTTGAGGTTCATTGCGATACAGGTGGTATAGAGTTAGAACGAATGAGATTCATTGCGATTGGATCCACGAGTTTTGATATGTTGTGAACGATCGGAACGCATCAGAGTAGGATGTCTTCGGTACAATTTGGTCCAAGCATTGCGATCCGATTCCAGTAACCTGCGATTGGTTCCGAAATCCGAAAGCCACGGATTCTCATTCCAGTGGACCTGGTCCCGATTGGTCTTTGGTTGTGACGATGCCTTGGTTCCGATTGGGCTTTGGTTGCGACGATGCATTGGTTCCGATGGATTTGAAGATGCAATACTCCGATTGGCTTGGATTCAACATGGTGCCCTCGGAAGTTCCAATCTCATAAGTTTCACCACTCGGTAGTCTCAAGGCCGCCTTTTCCACTTCCCAAGACTAACTCCCAGCTTTTATTCAATCTTATTAACAAGTCTTTAATGTTTTTAATAAATCCATTAATCAGCCTAATTATTTACGTGTCCTTTGAGTTTCTTTTACCGTTAGATCGTAAGGCTATATAAATCCATCGTTAATCATTTGTAAGAGTTAGTCGAATGAAGTTTATAAAATTTGAACTTGTGTTCATCTCGAGTTTTTGCGTATAATTCAAAACCGATCTTTGTTGGGAAGTGTTTCCTAGTACTGGTCTTGAATTCAAACCAATAGGTCTTGGTTTGTTTTCATCGAAGTTTCAAGCTATAGGTCTAGTTTGATATTCACACTATCTTTTTGTTATTTTGTTATTGTCTTTGTTCTTTGTTTCGCTGCATATTTGGTTTCAAGCTCCATATTTGAATCATTTATGGTGTCAAGAGTTCGATTCGTGTTGGTGGATTTTTGGAGCGGTCAAAACACACATCACATGATCCAAGCATACAATATATCTTGTTTTATACACAACATGGCACATATGAAGAATCCGCAGAAAATGGGATATAGTCATACTATCTAGCTCAATCTTTATACTAGGATTCCGAGGCATTCTCAAAATACTGGCAAGAAAAACACTCTTAGAATCTTATATCTTGAACCTTTCAAGATCTAGACAATCAACGCAACTGATAAAATTTCATTTACTATTTTTAATATTTAAGTCTTACGAAATTAATACATTTTAATGTATCAAAAACATTAATTAATGTCTAAGACCCAAGTTACGAAACAAGTAAATGGTTGTGTGACATTTATCTCATCCACTTAATCCAACGGGATAGGTGGCGTGGCGATTACCAATTTCATCAAATGTAATTCCTAGCATATGGGATCCAAAACAAATTTGGTTTTAACTTGTCATGTTTGATCACATCTATGCATCTGACTTATCATGCTAAGGTGACCTTTTATCACATAAGTTTCGCGATCAGGTCATCCTACTTAAAAAGCTTATGGTAGAGACACTTAACTAGCGGTTAGATGACCTTTATCCCACTAAAAAATACGAAAACCACATCGGCCATCATAAAACAAAATCTAAGTGGTTAGATGACCCATAGCCCACGAGGATCATACAAATGATGCAAGAGTATTGTTCAAACTTCAAAAGGACTGTATTAGCTTGAAATTTTAAGAAAATGTTATATATATATATATATATATATATATTACAAATCTAGTTTTAAAACATAGTCTCATTAATGAATATATCCAACAATGTTACCTTTTGAAAAAAATTATATTTCTTGTATAAGGTCCTTTTTCGTTCTAAATAAAATCTTCATTTTATTAACCTTAGCCACAATATAAACTAGTATCTTATATTCAAGTTTGGACGTTAAAAGAATATTTTATATTTAAAGTTCGACTTTAAGCTAATATTTTATGATAACATCCGCTTTCATTTCATTTCTTATGAAAATTGTTTGTATATTAATTATAGCGATCATATTTCATTTCATTGATTGACTTGATACATTGTTTGATATTCAAATCAACTATACTCTTGGAGACGTACCTTATTTTATATGTACCCTTCCCTTGTGTGAGTGTGTATGTTTAATTTTTTAAATATAGGCTTATTTTACATGTACCCTTCCCCTTTGTGAATGTATGTATGTTTGAATTTTTATATGAGTAACAAAGGTTAACATCCTAAATCCTAAATATAAAATCAAATATGTATTACAATATGTACCCTTACTCATAAAAAAATGTAACACACAAAAAGGAATTAGAAAGGGGTTAATATAAAATAAGGCAATCAAAAGCGGCATATGTACTGGAACCATGATGTTGCTACTCAAGTCATCGTAAGTGGTTCAAAGTTTAAGGCCTATATATCATGCAAGAAAGACACACAAGTTGAAACTCACAATCTTACCACTAGATCTTCAAAACAAGAATGTAATTAATTGCAAGGAAACACAACCATCAATCTCATCAAAACAAAACAAAATCAACCAACCACCGGTGTTTTATTTAACTAAGAAGAGTAACCAGTTATACAACATAATTAATTAGCACAATCTAAAGCTGCTGAATCTCCTTAAGGCCATTAAACCGGTCATCAATATGACCAAGAGCTTCTTGATGAATCGTAACTGTAGTAAACCATTTTAATGACTTTTGGTCTGGTTCAGCATCCTCGGGTCGATCGAGGAGTTGAGACTTGAGTAACCGACAAGATTTCAAATCTTCAGCGGTTCTGGCATTTGTTAGTTTTTTATTGAGTTCAACCAGACCAGAATACCGGGCCTTCTTAGGCCCAGTGGTGGTGTTGGTTTCTTGGGTCTCAGTTTCCAGATTTTTTAAACCGTTGTTCACAATGAACCGCATCCTATCCCTCAAGTTTTCGCTTCTTATAATTTTCAATTTTGATACCACTGTTTCATTCTCTCCTTCTAAATTGGAATTTAGGGCAAACACGTCCTCCAATAAACTGATATTTTTTAAATATCTATCGAAAGATTCGTTTTCGATTTCCATGTTTCTATCTTTGTATTCTTTCAACTTTGAAAACCGCCACTCGTTTATCTGAGATGCCTCCTGTATATAGTTCAATTCAGTTTTGTGATTTCAGAAGAAAAAATACACTGCTTTTACTATTTTATCAATTTTGCTATTTAATTGGTGTTTTTTGTTGTAATTAAAGTATACCCTTGATATTGTGCTTTCTGTATTTTCCCTCATATAAAAAAAATTTAATCACTAGAGGACAAATCGAAAAATACAAAAAAAGCTTACAATTTTATCAATTTAGCGAATTAATCTAATTTGTTAATGTGATTAATTAAACCGTAATACGTGTAACAAAATCACTTTTCTCGGTCACATGGTTTTAAAAAAGGTTAAAATAGAGAAACACAACAGAGTTTCACCATCATATCGATTCAGTCATTAAACTATTGTTTACTACTGTTTATTTATAATTTGATGCAGAATAGAGAAAGTCAGTATCAGTCAAAGCAAAAGCTTTCCCCATTAAGTTCTAACTGTTTACAGATTTGCTTTTATTTATTTTTTCATCCATTTTCTAAAATATTTTTTTTATAAACTTCATTAATCCAGAAAAAAGGCATGAATTGAATATGCACCTTTCTTGTGAGTGGCTTCTTTGCACGTGCAGGAGTTTGCAAATTGTTGAACTGAGCGAAATTGTTGGAGAGTTGTCTGAGTGAGGTGACTCTATGTGCATTCCTATAAAATAAATAACAATCTAATAATTTAAAACATATTTTCTAGTTATTTTTTAGAAAAAAAATCAGTAAATTAATTGAGATCATGAAAATGAAAATGGGTTCTACTTCTACCACAATTTCATGATGGAAAGAAAAAGAACACCACTTTGCTAAGGAATAAAAATTAACAAAATGGAAGGAAACACATTCTTACAAGAGCAATTCATTCCATCCCTTCAGTGTTTTTTTATTCATTTCATTGGAACAAACCATTAAAAGTTAGATAAATGAAAACGGGTTCTATTGCATATGATGGACTAAATTTGAAACACTACAATTTCATTGATAACATAAATGGTAAAAAAAAAAAAAATGTATATGTAATAACTCTAATAAGTAATAACTGGCTGGGCTGCAAAAAAGAAGAATGCTCAGTGTATTCTTAAAAATGTATTAAAACTCGTGTACTATTATACTATTAAGAATACTGGATAAGTGTTACTGTTATTGTTATTGGTATGATTATGTTACTGTTACCTATTTAGAAATACAAAAAGTTACCCTGATGAGGATGTCTCATTTGAGTGCTGAAAGTTGAAAGATGAGGTTGAGGATGTTGTCTTATCTGGAAATGATGAATTGCCCTTCAACACTGCGATAAAAAATAACCATGGACATACACTTAGCTTTTCAAAATCCTTCAATATAGCAACTTACTTAAATTTTATAGCATCCTATTTCCATTCCTTTCTATTATAACACTGCACTTCCAGTTTCTTTCTTAGGAAGAAAATTATAGCATTGTACTATCAAAAAAAAATCTAGTTGTATTTTGAAAGGTCCAGTGCAAATTATTTGGTATTTGGAAGGCGTTTCCTTTTAAAGGAAGTACAATGGTGTAATAGGAAAAAGGGTATCTCTCACTACTCACTGGTGCCTAGGATATATATATATATATATATATATATATATATATATATATGATGACCCTGTATTCATTGTCATACCGTGTATATGGCATGGATTTTGAGCTTTTTGCACAGCAACTTTTGCATGCCTGATACGGACACCTGCAGAATCAATCTAAAAATAAAGACAAGCATATAAATGACACAAATGACAAATGCTATGAGGAATGAATTTATGATTATCATCTATGGATTCATGGCATTCAGACATTTGATAAAGGGAGACGAAACCAACTACTGGTAGAGCCTGCTATGCTATATAATACGTGATGGTGATGCCATTCTAAAATCTCAATGCCACTTCTTTCTACTCAGATCCAGTAAAACCCACAATCACATGAGAATTAAGAATTTTTATTCAGAAGAAATAAATCTTTCTCCAAGTAAAAAAGGATGTAAAAGCACTATTAAATGCACATTTATACCAACATTGTAACAGGGACATGAATTATGCAACCATATTTCATTCACATAAATTCTTGACTATGCAACAATGTTTTTTATTTTACTTTACAAATTTATGGAGCTATATATTGCTTCTTTTACCAATCCGTGCAATCATTATTTCACTTTTTTTACCAATTTAAGTAACTGACTAACCATGACTCAACAATTACAGGTAAAATATCGCCTCTTTTGGTCCAAAACCAAAACGACCCCCTTATTTTGTATAAGAAAACACTTTGTTGCATAAACAGGGAAAAAGGCTTTGTTGCATAAATATTTGACCCTAATTTACAATCCATAATCTAACCATTTTATACTTAGGAGTTCTATTCTATGATCAAGATTCCTATCACTAAAATAATTAGTTCACTGTAAAGTGTAAACAGCTTCACTTGTACTTAAGTGTTTTCTGCCACCCTGAATATCAAAGGCTCAAAAGAAATAAGACTTTGATCCAAACTGATAAGGAACATTAGTTTATACTCATTTCTTCAAGATTTAGCTTCTAGATCTTTTTTTACTTTGTTTTCAATTCTAGTCTTACATCAGATACCATTACTTATTTACTTTGGCATTTGATTCCTTAGCTCAATATAAACCCACGCTCCTTTATTATTTCACTTCCAAATTTATTCGTTAGCTTGATCGCATTAAGGTTGTAATTCTCAAACTCTCTAGAGATACTTAGTGTTTTGGGCGTAACACTGTGGAAGCTGCAACCCTAGGCTTTCATACAGTTGCTATAGCTAGATTGCCTTCATATCGGTCATTTTTTTCATGTTATTCATATCGCCTATTGGCAACGGAAACATAAATTATCATCCTCAAAACCCTAGGCTTTCGTTATGCAAATTATACAAGAACGCAAACGGAAACATGCAGAAAAATATCTGTTCCGAAAATATAAAGTGAAATTAAGAAAGAAAACAACATCGAAAAACCAATATTTACTTGAAATCAAAGGAAACGATATGGACCTGGAACGAGCGACATTGCCACACTTGATGCATTTGGGCTTGTTAAGGCCGCGGAGGTTCTTAGAAGTATTGATGCTCGAATTACTCATCACCATAGAGGTTGTGGCGGTAGATGTGGTTTTTACAGCGCCGGAGCTGGCGTAACCGGTGTTTGAGGTAGTATCCGCACTAGTATTGCTTAAAGCAGGTGAAGCCGTAGCCATTACGCAACTCCTATATGCAAACCTTCAATTTTTCAGACGATTATACACGATGATTAAACAGTCTATAAGATTACAGAAAAAAAAAATGAATCGTTGTTTCGTGCAGAGGGCACAGGGCGGACAGCGGAGAACGACGGAAGGCGATTAAAGATGACCAATTTGTATCTCTTATTGGGCTGGGCTGCATCGTTATATCGCTGAAAAAAAATAGAGCAACGAGCCTTTGAAAATTTAAACATTTATATAGTAGGTTGATAGGCTTCTCTCGTGTTAATTTTTTTTTTTAAATTAATTTATATTAAAAATAATCAATTTAACCAAGTTATTTTAAAAAATAAAATTTCATTAAACTTCAAAGAAAATTACAATAAACAAATCAAAAAAACAACATAGAATTTAAAAATACAAAACATGAAAATTAAAATTATCAAACCTAGATATACCTAAAAGACATCTTCATCGAAAAATTGACCGTCTAAAGCATTGATTGGCTCCGCGTTAAACTCGATGTGGTTAACGGTCCAAATATGTTACGTCAAGTCTCTAGATGGGTCTCAACGTCATGAATTATTGCCTTCCTTGCCAAGTACTCCTCGCTTCCAACCTCAAAAGCTTGTATCGGAAGAACAATCTCGTTTTCATTATACTCACAAATTGCATTTCCTTCATCTTCGATAATCATATTATGCAATATGATACAAGTATATATCACCCCACTCATTTTCTTCTCATCAACAAAAAGTGCAGGGTATTTAAGTATATGACAACGTTTTTTAAGAGTGTCAAACGCTCGTTCAACATCCTTTTTGGCTTTCTCTTGAGCTCTCTTAAACTTCAACATTTTTTGATTATGAGGACAAGACAACGACTTCACAAAACAAGCACGCTCCGGATAGATCCTGTCCACAAGATAATACATGTACCTATATGACGTTCCATGCACATCAAACGAAGATTTTGGAGCAGTCATTTTATACATGTCATCGAATAACGAAGACTTGTCAAGAACATTTATGTCATTGAGGGAACCAACATAACCAAAGAATGCATGTCATATCCACAAATCATGTGAGGCCACCGCTTCAAGTATGATAGTTGGATAACCATGATCACCTCGGGTGTATTGGCATTGATGTGCATTCGAGCAATTACCTCATTCCCAGTGGAGGCAATCTAGGCTTCCTAACATTCCAGGGAAGTTGTGCACATTCGAATAATACGCATATAGTTGTTGGACATCACTACAAGTAGGTTTACGTAAATATCGTGGACCATACAATCTCATGGCATACTTACAAATTTTGTGAAGACTTTGTCGTGCAGTACATCCGGACATCCTAAGATTCTCATCTAGTTCATCGAGGGAAGTGGCATACGCTAATTGACGAAGTGCAACGGTGCATTTTTGTAAATGAGTAAAACCAGTTGTACATCTAGCATCTACTCGTTGTTGAAAATATGGACACATTGTCGTGACATCGTTGAGGATACACTAAAATAGATGTTTGTGCATATGGAACCGCCGAAAAATTAATATCCTTGAAAAATCGTGTTTTCTTCAAAATAATCTTGCATGAGGCGCTGATGGGCCGCCTCACGATTTCTTTATATGAACCTTCCTTTCATCTGGCGCGCATTATCCGTATTTTGTTGACATAGTTCTTATATCTTTTGTTCAGCCTATTGAACGACCTCGATGGTTGATTCAAGCAATACATTAAAAATACTCGACGATGAAGATGACAATTTTAGAGAGAGTGTGGAAGAGGGGTTTGATGGAATGAAGGTTGAATTAAGGAATGAAGGTATATATGGTATTTAAAATAAAAATAATAATTTTTTTTTTTGAAAAAGAGTCGTTGCTCGTTGGTGAATGTGTGTGTGTGTGTGTGTTGAAACTCGGCAGAGACTCACCGAATGCCTAGACCGAGCTTCCTTCACCAAGGTGGTGGTGCGGTTGTAACACTTTGTTTATTTATTTAATAAATAAATTAATTAATGATCATATAATAGCCTTAAAATCAATAATTATATAGCACGGTGCTGGTTTTCGGGAGCCAAAGGTTGCAATTTTAGAAGCTGGGGGTTAAAAGGGTAACATATGGGCTTTATTTGAAAGGATCTTGAAGAGAGGGGGGTTGTATGGTAAGTATTATACTTAAATTGTAAAGTATTTCAGGAGGCAGGGCTAAAAAGGTAAAATATGGATCTATTTCGAAATAAATGGGAGCTGGAGGGACTGTTATTGCCATTATGGCAAACTCTTGAGGGGAGTCGGGTATAAACGTTTAAGCAAACCCTAACCCTAAAGACATGTGCAGCCGTCACCCCCTTTCCCCCCTTATGCCTCCCACCACCGGCCACCCTTGCTCCTCCGACCACCAAGTCGTCGCTGTGCTGCTGGTTCCCCATCTCCAGCCGCCGGAGCCAACCTCTACGTCGGAAGCAAGCAAGGTCATCAAGAGGCTGCTGTGAATTGTCGCTGCTGCCCAATCGCCACCACTCCTTCACACGTTTTTGATGGGTTTTCAGCATTCTAACACTCCTATGGTGTACATGCAACCCTAAAAACCTTGGATCTATGTTTGACTAAGATACATGCAAATAATTATTTTTCCAAGGTTCTTATCCTAACTAGCATGGCATGGGGTACTTGAATCAAATAAAACTAGTAGAATTACTTACCTTGTAGTAGTAGTTGATTGCTTGGAGTTTGAGAGCCTAGCACCAATAATGTGGATGCCTCAAATGGAAGTCACAAATCACCACAAACTTGGAAACTTGAGAGAATAGTCACAAACTTCTTGAAATCGGCCCTCTTAGTTTACACACATCAACTAGTGCAATTTCAAGAACCAAAGCCTCCTTTATATAGTGTGGTGGATTAGGGTTACATCCATGTAAACCCTAATACCCATGTCTTTTCATTTCCATGAGATCCATGGGTTAAAGCTCCATGGAGTATCCATGGACTTTCCATGCAAGTCTAGCCCATTCCAAATAAGCATTAGCCCACACTATATAAATACAAGAGCCCATATTTAATTAGTCATACTTTTGATCTCTAAATTAATTCTAAATTAATTATAGATCAACACTAATTAAATAATATGATTTTATATTAATATATTAGAACTTATAATATATTAATAAATCATAACTTATACTATTCTCAAAAGATTATCCGTAAATTGTTCGGGTGAAGTGCAACCCAAATGGACCATGTCGGGTCGGGTCAAGTACATACCAAATATAGTTATGGACTTAGACACTATCTCCAACAGTTTTTCCGACCGACGAACATATTCGTTGCTGCTACAACTCGCGTCGCCGCCTTCTTTCTCCGACCGTCGCTTGCTACTCCTCAGCCACGGTCACTGACTCTACTGCAGCTACCGCCGACGAAGACGAAAATGCCGCCGCCTCTCGTTGTTTCAGCCGTGAGGATCGAAGGTCGACGACCTTAGAGGCCGCTGTGGTTCGCGGTTGAGTCGTTCACCTTTCTCGTCCCTATTCTTCTATCGCGACGTTGTCCCCATGGAAGACGTTGTGCCATCGTCCACCTGTCGCCGGTGGAGTCGTTGCTGCGGCCGCTGTTGCGCCACTGTCGTCGCCGCTCACCTCAGGTGGGTGGCTGGTTCGTTTGCTAGAAGAAAACATGAGTGTGTGTGTGTGTTTCTGCCACTAGAGTGAATACCATACGTCGTGGGTAGTGTGGCTTGGCCGGAGTTTACGAGAAAAGCCACCACCGCCACCACCGTGAGGTGGTGGCTGCCGCCACATGTCACCGCCGACCACCACAAGGGTGGTTACGTGTGTGTGTTTATTTTAGTGTAGTGTGTGTGTTATTTTGGGAATTCATTGTAAAAAATTATAAAAGCCAAAAGAATAATGAAAGAGATCCTAACCACCACCATGAGCTGGTGGCGGCGCTGGTGGCTGCCGCCACCAGCCGCCGTGTCGGGTAGCGGTGTGCTTGCCTTGTTGAGTTTGATTTGTTTGGGATGCTTGAAACCCTAATGGGCCCAATGAGGCTTAATGGGCTTAATAAACCCTAATGGGCCCAATGAAGCTTAAAGGACCTAAAAGCCCAATCATGTGACTGATGGGCTTAGTAAAACCCTAATGGGTCCAGTGAACCCTAATGGGGTTAAGGACTTGAATTGTGGGCCTATTGGGCTAATATGGGTTGGAAACCCTAATTAGGGTTTGGAAAACCCTAATGCAATGAAACCCTAATTTGGGGAATTAATCGGGACACACAGGAATTATTTGATAACTTGAAATATTAAATAATAATCATTGGCAAAAATTAATCTAAGCAATATTGGACTTAATGGATTAAGTCCTTAGTGGATTAAGTCCTTAATGGTTTAAGTAGGAAACTTAACCTTAATCATCATTTTACGTGAAACCCTAATTTCATTTGGGCCTTAAGTTGGGCCCTCCTATTGGGCTTTGATGATTGGGATAATAATGGGTCATCCAGGAACAAGCAAATGGGCTAAAATAATTTAATGGGCCTAGGGTAAGGCCCATGTAAGGGGTTTGTGTCACACCCCCAAACCAGAATGGCGGAAACATTTGGGGGCGGGTGACTTCACGTAGTATCATAACAGTTGAATATTTATAAAGAAAGTAAACACAACCATCATAAATATAATTTAAAAGTTACATTGTTGAATACAATACATGTCTCAAAATAAATTATAATATGATGATTTAATAAGTTTTAAGACTGACGTCTTAACGTCCCTTCCCCAAAAGCTGATGATTTACCTGTATTACTGAATCCCTGAGAAATACAAGTAGTTTTGAAAAAGTGTCAACAATTAAGTTGGTGAGTTCATAAGCGTTTTTGTATAAGAATACTATCCTTTTCAGTGTAAAATAACAGAGTTTGTTCCTAGAAAATCCAATATTTTCCATGCATGTGTGGTAGTTTGAAAAAGTTCCAAAAGACTGAATGTATAAGTGTTTTCCATACTTGAATTAGTATAAGTAGATTTATATAAGTATATATATATAATCACTAAGGCGTTTAACAGCCCCGTAAACCGAGATGTATTAATACCCCATGTGAGTTTTTATAACCGTGCTATTGACCCAGATTGCCTGTAACAACGTTGTTCAGGCGTTGGAATGATATGACGTTTGTCACCCCAGACCTGCCGGTCTAACTGTAGC